AATGGTCTTAAATGTGCCTTCTTGGCCTCCCTAAGGACTCAAAATGATCCCAATGTTTTTGGAAATTTCAAGGTGAATTTAACTCTATTGTTACAAATGATTGAATTTTTGAAAGTAGACAGAAGGGAAATTTCTGACAAAAGTTTTTTTTCCCCCTCCTTGCAGTTGAAACCATATAACATATAGTCAATGAACAAAGAATGGCTTATTATGATTGATGTGCCTAGAAACCAGAGATGATGATATATAAGGTCCAAGGATTCATTGTTACCAAAGATTCTATCAATTCTAGATCATAGTTTCTGTCAACTCTGTTGCTGTGGTTTGGGGTGTTGGGAACCCCAAAATTCAAGGGTACAGGGGGTCTGCCTTGAAATAATTTGATCACTGGAGCCTTCTTTCAGTCAAAGTAAGGAGGTTTACTTGTGCTGCCAATAGAAGCAGGCTAGATTCTAAGTGAATCTAGATAGGGTTTGGTAGGGATAAGGCTGATATTGAAGACAGTGAGATCTGGATGGGATTAAGGAGTGGTAAATAGCCTGGGGTGGGCTAGGTATACTACAATGAAAGGAGTTAAGTGGTTGGAGAGCCACAGTGAAAGGGCAGTTAAAAGGATTATTGAGTATCTAGGTGGGCTGAGCTGGGCCAGATGCCTTAGGTAAAGTATGTAAGCCAAGTAAGATCTCAAAGCTAATATTTTTACTTCAAGGGCATAGATAATTGGGAAGAGGTAGCTTCAACTAACCATTGCCAAGATAGGGAATATTCTTTTGTCAGTGTCTCTGAGTTTGGACTTTACCACTGTGGCTTAGCTGCCTTTTTACCTTGGAACTTCCTTAAGTTCTAGAGTCTTCTTACTTCCAACATCAGTCTACCATGCAGGCCCCTTTCTTCTTTTCTCTTTTAAAGGACTCCATTTTGGGGCCAGGGCCAGGCTGGCCATGCTTCATTTCCCTCCTGGTTATATTTCTGACTCTGGACTTAGCCATTAATTTCTACCCTCCTCTGGCAACATACCTTGGATATCTTTTCAGCTTCCTTCTATGGGTAATCTTCCCCCATGGGAGTTAAGTGAGGCAGGGTGGTGCAAAGTCACCAGCCTCACTTTCTCTTCCAGAGCCATCTGGGTCTAGTAACAAGATCAGAACAATTAGAGTTGGCCCTGGATGCAGTGGGAGATTTTGACCTTTTTCAGCTAAGGTATTTAAGAGGCCCCAGTTTGACTGAGGCAATGCCCATTCAGTGATTAAGGCTAGGTAAGAAATGAGACAGAGAATGGCTTCTTGTACCTAGTTAAAAAAAAAATCAATCTGAGAGGGGAAGACCATCAAGGCTTCTGGCCAAAACAGAAACAGTTGCTATTTATATTCACTCTGAGTCAATCAGGACCCAAACAGTAACCAAGTGGGGCTTGGGCTGGCACCTATTATTTGCCAATCAATGAGAGCCAGAGTAATTTAGTTTTAAGGCATGGTTCTTCAGAAAAAAAAAGCCTATAAACCCCAAGATATCTTGTGAGATTTCAGTAATCAAAATTTACATCCCTTTGGGCAGAGGACCTGCAGGTGCTTTTTATGAAGGATCATGCCTCTCTCTCTCCCTCACTTAAATCCAATTCACTTGCATGTCATGGCACCATCTCCCTGATGTCATGGTCCTCTTCTAGAAGGAAGGACAAACAACAATCTTCCCTCATTATAATGTAAGCTCCTTAAAGGCAGGGACTCTTTATTTTTGGTTGTATTTTAAGTATTTATTGCTTGGTAAGCACTTAATAAATGTTTTCTCTTGCCTTGCTTTAGTCTGAAAATCATTGAAGTCCTATGACTTTCAGATATAAGACTCAGTACATACCTCTTTTCATCTTCTCCACTGATTTGCATGGATCTGGTCATGTCACTCCTCTACAAAAAAATCTTTGGTTGGTTCCTATTGTTTACCAGCTACAGTGGGAATTTCTTTGCCTGGCATTCAAGGCCTCTGTAATCTGATAGCAGTTCTATTTCATATTCCTCCCCTCCATTCATTGTATGTTCCAGTCATTCTGAATTATTCTCTAATTCTAAGACTTGCATCACTCTATTCCATCTCAGAATTTGTGCTTCCCTTTCTTGTAATGCCTTCTTCATTTGCTGAAATAAGAACCATCCTTTAAATCTCAATTCAAATGCCTTCTCTTTTATGAAGATTTTCTTGATCAGACCTGAGGACCTCACAAAAAACTTTATTTTGCAACTCTCTACTGCACTCATCATGTGACATTGTGGATTATCACTATCTGTGTTGCTGCATTATCTCCCATTAGAGTTCAAGCTTCAGATGGTAGGGCCCAGGTCTTAAATAAGCTTTTTTTTCTTCCCCAGCACTTGGCACTGTGCTCTACCTGTAGTAGGTACTTGTGAAATAGAGAATTAAATAATCAAATGTATAATGTTTGGAAAGAATTTTGGCTTTTGTATTATATTACTTTGATAACTAGATGGGTAATACAAGAATAAATGGACAGATACACAAACAAATAGGTGAATATAAAGAAACTAATTAATCTAAAATCCAGTTTTCTGGATGCTAGCACAAATTTCCAAAACTTTTAGGCAGTATAGATCTCTCTCTCCTCTCTTCTCTCTCTCTCTCTCTCTCTCTCTCTCTCTCTCTCTCTCTCTCTCTCTCCTCCTTTCCTCTCACCCCTTACATAGAATGAAGGGGTCAAAGAAGGTGTGGCACCCTGATAAAAGAGATACAAAAGAGAGCTGTGATCTCTTTTAACCCAAGGATTCCTTGGGAACAAACAAATTTAGATTTCTGTTCCCTCCCAGGCAACAGTGATAAACAATTTTATTTGAAAAATAAACAAACAAACCAAAAAACCAAAGCTCAAACTAAAAAGATAAACAAATGATTTTTAGTGCTATCAGGACGAAGAGTAGGAAAATCAAATAACAGACATTTATTAAGTGCTTACCATAGGCTGAGGATACAAAGAAAAATGGAAAACAGTCCTCCCTTCAAGTAGTTTATGTTCTTAACACATAATCATGCACTGAGGGCTTACAAGCAACTGATATCTATCAAAGAGAGAATAAGCAGGCTTCTGAAAATAATTTTAGTTAATTCTTTTTTCTTCTTCTAGGATCTAAAGTTCTTTGAAGCCTGTTTATAAATTTGAAAAAAAAGTGACAGCCTTTTGAAAAAACACTAGAAAAAAAAGACAAGATTATGAGACCAGGCTCTCCAAATAGAGCCTTGTTTGCGGGGATACTAAAAAAAAAACCTTATAGAAATGCTTCTAGACTTAATTTTTTTTTCTCATTTCCTAACCAAGGATTTACAATGAACACCAAGAGCTCACATCAAACATTGGCTTGACTTCTCTTATCTTCTATTCTCAGAAATTTTGCTCTGGGCCCTTTATTAAAGGTTCACTTTAGTTTTTCATTAAGCATGGATAATTAATATATGTAGGTAAGAGCAGGTTGTGGGGTTATTTGAGTGTGGTGGCACTGCTGCTGCCAAGAGTGGACAAGTTAAAGTCTGGTTTTAAAGGTAACACGGTGTAGTGGAAAGATAAACAGTATAGTTGGACTGAATATCAAAAGACCTGTGTTTTAGACATAGGCCTTACCTCTATGTGACATTGGAAAAGTCATTTTATGCTTTTACCTTGCCTCATCATAGAGCTGAAGAGATCAGAAAAGATGATTCTCCAAGGACCTTTCTAGGTCTAAAATTAGACTATAATCAAAATTCCTAACCTAAAATGCATATACATTGTGAAAGAAGTCAAAGGAAGAAAAGGCCTTGCTGTTTCAACACTAAAAGAATGTGGAGGAAGTCAGTTCAGTTGAAAAAGAGAAGCTAAGTCAAAGTGGTCAGTTAGTTGAGTAGTAAACCACTCTCTTTCAACTGGCTTGAAAGGCAGGCATAGGCCCTGCCCACTTCAGTGGAGGTGAAGACAGAAGTGATCACCTAACTAGCTTCTAATTGAGCTTCATGGAAGCAGAGTGAAGGATCTGAAGTCTGAGGAACTGGGGTTGGCATGCTGGCTTATTTTGCAGGTGAGGAAACTGAGGACTACATGTGTAAAGTGACTTGCTCAAGGTCATGTAGATAGTAAGAGTCAGAGACAAGAATCAGACCCACAGGTCTTATAACTCCAAGTTCACTTGTACCATGAAGCCTCCACATAGAATCATGATGAATGGTTGAGAGTTGATGTGGTTGGTAGATTCTACCTCTATTGCCTCAGTGACCTAGGGTGAGGTACTTTACCTCTGGGCCTTAGTTCCTTCATTTGTAAAATGAGGGCCTTAAACTAGATGGCTTCTATCTCTAAAGTTCCAATCCTGTGATATTTTTACCCAAGTTAGAAAGCTGGCTCTGTCACTTGCTACCTCTGTGACCTTGGGCAAGTCACTTGATTTCTCTAGGCCTCAATTTCCTCATCTGCAAAAATAACTTTTAGGGTTACTTCTAGCTCTAAATCTGTTCCTATATAGAATATATGTATATATGTACAATACACATATATGTATGTATGCATCTATAGGTACAGACATCTAGATGCATACATATGTATACATGTATATGGATTCATGTGTGCATATATGTACGTGTGTATATATATCTTGGAGATAGTCTACAGCTCTATTTTCCTTAAGATAAGGCTATCATGAGGGGCTGTAGGGTTCTTCCCATTAAAGAATTGATCCAAGCCCCCATTCCAGTATGATCCCCCAATATCATCTCCAGTGATTAGCAGCTAACTAATTAATACCACCTTAATATTTTTGATAAGCAATTAACATCAATTATCTCTTACAAAGGTCTACTTACTGAGAGATATATCAGGAATGGAAATATGAGCATATTCCCTTGAGCTAGCGACATTCTCTGTCCTTTATTACCTTGATTCCAGGGTAGTATGAGCTCAGACTTAAAGTGGTAGCTAAAAGCATTCTTCTCATCAAGTTCACTTCTGAATGTGGCAGGCTGATGGATGAGTTTGCTCTTGAGGGCTGACTTCTTCATAGGCTTGGCTGTAGTGGCAGTCCATTCCATCATGGCCTCCAATCACTGGACCTCTGGAAGCTTTTGTTATCTTTTGAAGCCCCTGTGGTTTCAGCTTGGTCCATTCTGTCTCTACCATTCATCTACCTAATTGGAAGGAAGAGTAGATACAATGGAGACAAAAGAAGGCCATGTGTCATATCAGGTATAGAGGCTTGGTCATTAGTGTAACTTCTTTTCCCCCTTGAAGTTTTACAGTAGCTCTTGCCTTGCTTGTCACCAGGGAAGACAGAGTGACTTGGCCTGTTACTGCCTTTTGTATGTGCACTCAATTTGAAATTAGCAGGCAATTACAAGATTTTCTTCATTGCTACAAGTAGACAGGAAACAGCCAAGAATACCTACTCTGAACAAAGAAGTGGAGCTCCGCCATTACATGTCATCACAATTTTCCAAAAGCAGGTACATTTAGAACATTACAATGTTAGAACATTAAGCATGCTTCAAGGCCTAGGCTCCCATTGGCTATTTGTTTTAATTTTTTAAAAATTCCAAATCACAAATCACATCTTTACTTTCTAAAAAGTAGTTAGGAAAGTTTTGTAGTTTTAGATTCTTGTAACCAAGAGTTTAACATCTTAGGGAGTGGGGTTTTATTTTTTTTTTTTTCTGGTCTTTCTATATCTCGTTTCCAGGAGAGAGACTTGCTGTTGGTTTATCCTACCATATCAATTAAAGAGTGACTTCTGTGAATTGCAGATACACAATCAGACACCTCAAATCCTAGAAGAGTTCTAAGGGGCAGATTCAGCTAGTGGCTGAGTCTCCTGCCTCAGGTACTTCTCAATGGCTTGAAGAGAGAAGCTCCCCAGAAGAGGAAGCATTCAGTGGGATTAAAGAGAAGGGAAGGGGCAGCTAGGTGGCACAGTGGATAGAGCATTGGCCTTGGATTCAGGAGGACCTGAGTTCAAATGTGACCTCAGACACATGACACTTACTAGCTGTGTGTGACCCTGGGAAAGTCACTTAACCCCATTGCCTAGCCAGAAAAAAAAAGAAGGGCGATCAGGCCTCTTGGTCCCTTAAAGGATGTGAATACCATGACAGAATGTCCAGGTAGGCCAGAATATATAGCTCTACCTTCTGACACAGAGGCAAACTCAATGGCAGGGAGAGGGAAAGAGTGAATGAGAATGATTCTTATCCCTTATGAATAACCTTGCTAAAAAAAAAAAGAGAGAGAGAAAAAAAGTGGCTAAGGTCTTTTTAAACAACTAGACAGTTCCAGAGAGAGGGTGAAATCAGGTAAACCTGATGGCCTCAGGATAAAATTTCTTTCAACTTGTTTTAGAGATTTTTGAGATCTTTAGTCTAACTTTAGGCAGGTCACTGTCAAAGCAACAACTTGTATCTCAGAGAGTTTGTAGTACAGGGTTCTACCTGCAGCTCTTTCTTGAGATAGGAAACCCCTCAACCCCTCAACCCCCCAACCCCCAAAACCTTCTGTTTCTATTCCTGACCTATGGCTTCTGCTTGCTTCAAATCTTTCATGATAAAGACTGGACTGGAAAGGACCTTAGTCCAGATCCCCTAACTTCCCAGATAATAAAACGGAGTCGTAGAGAGATAAGGTGACTTTTGCAGAGTCATTCAAGTACTAACTGGGAGAGCCTGGATTGGAATTTTGGTTGTTCTTCTCTGCTTCTGGCTAGCTCTTCTTGACATTCACTGCAGCATCTCTGCAGCATGAAAGTTTGTTGATGGCGGTTAGAAAGGAGAGGAAAATGACTTTGGAATCTAGGGACTGCTGCTTGGAAAGGGAATGCAAGAGTGGAACACTGCTGAGGACAGAGATGAGTAGCAGAGAGAGGCAAAAGGCAAGCTGGGTAAGACAAACTTTGTGTATGAGCTAATTTTGCATAAGGCAGTCTCTGAGGAGAAACCTGCATCTCTTCAGATAATCTGTGAGCATCTATTTATATCTGGGATATGTGGGAAATGCTAGGTTATTAGCATAGGTTACAGATCTGGCACAGAAAATTGTGGTAGAACATTTGCCACCATACTGAAAGCTAAATGTCAGAATGGACAACCCCAGTTGCCTAATGTGCTCAGGAATTCCCGCTATGCAATTCAGTTCCCATGATTCACCTCTGCTGAGTTCCACAGTCCCTCTTGGCATGATTCTCCCCTTTCATCCTTTGTATTCTCACCATTCAGGGGATTGGACTGAACCTGGCTGGGTGTCGTGCAGCAAAAATTGCGTAGCACTGTGGTATAAGCTATCTCTATGGGCCTTGAAAGAGGAGAAGTTAAAGGGTGGTGGTAAAACATGGTCTGAAAGTAGCCATAGGGAGTAAAGAATATGTTTATCCATTCTATTAATGTCTCTACTATAGCCGAGTCATCCTGCCATTTTTTTCCTGTATTATCCCATTTTTCCTAACAACTCAACTGAAAAACTGAGGAAGGCAAAAGTTCAGGCTGAATTAAAAACTTAGGTTTATCTCAGCTAAATCCCATCTGCTAGATACTAGTCACTACCTAGTGAATTGTAGGAAAGGGATTGAGACTTGAGGAAACTCCTTCTACTAATGCAGGCATCTTCTTTGTAACTTAGAGTCTTGGAGAGTTGCCTAGAGTACTTAGAGGTTAAGTGACTTGCCAAGGTTAAGACAGTAAATATATCTTAGAAGTGGGACTTGAACCCAGGTCTTCTTGACTGAGGCCAGCTTTGCTGCCTGTCAGCAAGTTGTAAACATTAACAAGTGACTGACCATTTTGCCCAGAGGACAGTTCTGTGATGCTCATGGCTCCCAGGGACCCAACTACTTAATAAAGAAAGGCTATGGAGCAGTATTGGTGTTGATTTTACATACTGCATCCTGCCATTTATATTACACAGAGATGCATCACATCAATGGTTTACTGTAAGCTTATGAGAGACAGGCTGGCAGTTTTAGAGTCACACTTTATGATCCAAGGACCTTGACTGCAGTAAGAAAAATACTGCGGGAAACAAACCTTGACTACATCAGGACAGCTCATCATTTTCCTCTGAAAATGGGAGTAGGGAAAATGGCTTTAAATATTCACCATCATTCTTAGAAAAATTACAACAAGAAACCATTAATACTTAATGCACTGTTGGATATTGCCCTCATCTTTGGAATAGATCCCTGGCCTTCTGTCTGGGCTCAGGACAAAGTCTTGGCCTTCATTTACTGTACTCTTTTCCTGCTATGTCTAGCAGAATACATTTCCTCACAGAAACAATGTTATATATAGTGGCTGGTTTGTCTGACTCATGACACATTCTTCTTTTCCTATCTTTCTGTCTTACCGGTGAGATTAATCTCTTCCTCCCACATTCTGAATGGGATTCTTCCACCTCTTCTTTTTGGGTCTCTGTTTTTCTGTTCAACTCTTTCCTGTCTTCTTTTTCATCAAGGTTCCTCCCCACCCTGATCCAATCAATTCCAATCCCATTATTATGCTCCCTATTATAGCCTTTGGTGGTGACTTCTCTCAGCCTTTTCTTCCTTATTTTGCTTTTTAGTCAAGGTCCTCCCCCCATTCCTTTAAAGAGTGAGTCATTGGTGAGATGGCTTAAATGTATGTAATTTTAAACTAAATACACTTTTAGCAGCCTGAATATAGTATACTGATACAAGGTCATGCTATAAAAATATCACTTAAAATCTTCCCCTGGAAACTCTTCTGATGATATTTTGTAGGGCCAGGTAAATCTGTATCTTGGCAGATCTTAAGTGGAATGAAGACAAAGTGAAATCTTGTGGTATGTTGATCACTGTGTATACCATATTCTCCACCGAATAATTCACTGAACAATGACTACTAAATTGCCTGCAGTATCCACAAATTGTGCCACATGAGGTGCTTTAATGAAATCCAAAAGAAAAGCAAGGCAGTCCCTCTCCTTGAAGAGTTTACGGACCAGGTGAGAAGACAAACCATACGATTTAACTAGAAATAACAAAAGGTTCAACCATGCTCTAGCCTAGCTCATCCTGACTCTATGATGCAAGATACCTGACTCTAATGTATGCAAGATACATTATGATCTAAGAACATTCAAGGTCTTTAGTGGTACTAGAATTTTACAGCGTTGTATTGGATATCTGGGCTTTGAAAGTCTCCTGATTCTATGAGTTTGCTTTGATGACATTTGTCCTTACTGCATCATAAAATTTGAAGCTAGAAGAAGCCTTAGAGCTCATCAAATTAGCTTCATTTTACATCTGAATGCACTGAAGCCAAGAAATTGTGACTTGTCCAAAGTCACAGAGGTAGTAAGTAGCAAAGTTGGGATTCAAACTGACCTCAGATTTATTGAGATTTTTATAATATGCTACCAGAAGCCTCAGTTTCCCCATCTGCAAAATGAGAAGGTTGCACTAGATCTTAATGCTCCCCACTAGCACTTTATGCTTCTCTGACTCTAGAATTATTTGTTTTATAATAGGTCCATCACCATTACATATTGTCCATGATGAAAAACAAAAATTTTGGCACAAAAGAACTTTGTAAGAAGAGGATACCTTTTATTCCCTTTTCAGAATTAAAAAAAGCCCCAAACAACAAAAACAGAAACTATTTTTCAACAACTAACAGAAACTATTTCCTAAACTATTTCCTAACGTTTAAATCAAACTAAGAGAAAATCAAGCCTGTTGTCTTTCCCGAATATATACCTTGCTAACAAAATAATTAAATGAGAGGAATATAACATGAATACAATGAAAGAAAAGGAGAATTAAGCATCTATCACCAAGCAGTTGCATCAAAATTGGTCAGATGCTTTTCTACCACATACCTCTCTTTTGGACTATGCCAAAGCAGGTTATAGGGCTCTGTTTGTAAATACTGTAGGCAATCCATCCAGTAGTGATTGTTCAGTGGAGAAGAAGGTACATGTGGTGATAAAATTACAAGATTCTACTTTGTTTTCATTCCACTTTAGAGCTTCAAAGAAAGTTTTACTTAGCCCAGCAGGATATTATCAGAAAAGTTTCCTGGGGAAGATTTTAAGGAACTTAAATGGTGGCCTTGCATCAGTACAACATAGAGAAAATGAAAATTCACAAAGTACACTCAACACATGGATTTTTAAAAAAATTTGCAAA